AGGCAACCTATGGGGAATTCGTTAAGATGATAGAGATAGAATGTGGTGGCTGGAATGATCTCAACGGCGTATTTCGTATTAGGTCTATTGTGTTGTGCGTAGTTTAGAATGTCTGCTGTGTTTAAGTGTTCTAAAAAATCTTTAAAATCTACTCTATTGTTAATTAATTTGGGAAGTTCTAAGACGCATGCATTGTTGTTACTTGAGTGAAAAAACCTATATTCCCCTGTTTCTTTATGTTTTAAAATGGAATGGTGACTATAATTTATTTTGAACCGCTTAGTTTGTGTGTTAAATATGGTATCTACAAGTTTTGTATCCCAGTCTATTGGAGTAGTGTCTAGTGGGCTGTGAAAAAAATTGAATGTGGATATATGTTTGCCTGTAGTTGCGTGTGTCTGTATGGAGTGCCAATTGTCAATGTATATGTTTTGTAATTCGCTGTTTAAGTTGTAAATGGTGTCAATTTCGTCGAACGGTAAGTCTAAGTCGTTCATTTCCTCTAAATCTATGTCTACCACATCTCCCCTTAGGGCATCTACAAGTATAGCGTCGGTGTCTACATTAACGTTACTATCGTTGTGAGGTGTCTTTACTCGTTTATTGTTTGTTGTTTCGTCATAGGTCCTTTGTCTCTTTAATTGTATAGGTAGGTTGTCTGTTTGTCTGTCGTTTGATGATGCAGGTTGTTCAGTTTGTCTGTCAAATGTTAATGTCGGTTGTTCACTTTGTCTGTCAGATGCTGATGGGGTGTCGGTTGGTGTAAGTAGAGTGGTGTGTGCTGTGGTGGTGTGTCGTTTCAAATTGTCAGGTCGTGTGAATATTTTGCCACATTCTGTGCACTGATGTTTTCCTCTGGCGTGCGCAGTAGCTTGATGGCGTTTCAAATTGTCACTCCTGTTGAACACACGTGGACAGGTGGCGCATTCATATCTGTTCATGGTTGAGTGAGTGGCTGGATGGGTGGTTTGCATCTCAGTCTGTCTGTACAAGTAAGAAAGAAAAAATATAAAAATAATCGTAAATAAAATTAAAGTAAATATATTTGACAACTTATTTAAAAAATAAATAAACTTTAATTAAAGGGTATAATCGTATTTTTATATTAACGGGTTAATTCGATTAAAATATATAAATAAAAATAAAATAAATAAAATAAACAGTATTGAACTTACTTTTTAATGTTAATGTCTAAGCCGGCTTGAGAGCTGTCAGTCGGAGGGTTGGTGTATGTGGATGGTTCGGCTGGATATGGGTGGGTTGGATTTTTGGCTAGTTCAATTGCTTGTTCAGTGGTTAGGGTTGACTGTATAATAAAAAAATAAAAAATAAAACGAATACCAATGACTACTTATTTTTAAAATTAAAGATATAATTAAAGGGTAAAAAATAAAGTTCCCTTTTCAAAGCTGCTGGTATATAGGACAAGTGCAGTAGAGTTCACTTGTTTCTGTAGCTTCAGTATATGAAGAGTTAGTGTGGTCAGCACTATTTACTTTCCCTAACGTAAATAACGACAACAAAAGTACTCAGGGATGGTTTACTGTCTTGAGTCCGGATTCTAACTCGTAACTTACAGATTAACAGTAAAGCGAATACATTTGACTACAAGAAAGTAAATAAATAAAAAATTTTATTAAAGGGAATAAACGTAGCTTCATTAGTAATATAATAGCTGGGTTGGGTGTATATTACAAATTAAAGCGAGTACATTTGCCTCCAAGAAAATAAATAAGATTTAATTAAAGGGTATAAACCTATCTTCATTAGTAATATAATGGCTGGGTTGGGTGTATATTACAAATTAAAGCTAGTACATTTAACTCCAAGAAAATAAATAAGATTTAATTAAAGGGTATAAACCTATCTTCATTAGTAATATAATGGGTGGGTTGGGTGTATATTACAAATTAAAGCGAATACATTGGACTACAAGAAAGTAAATAAATAAAAATTTTTATTAAAGGGAATAAACGTATCTTCATTAGTAATATAATGGCTGGGTTGGGTGTATATTACAAATTAAAGCGAATGCATTTGACTACAAGAAAATAAATAAATAAAATTTTATTAAAGGGAATAAACGTATCTTCATTAGTAATATAATGGCTGGGTTGGGTGTATATTACAAATTAAAGCGAATGCATTTGACTACAAGAAAATAAATAAATAAAATTTTATTAAAGGGAATAAACGTATCTTTATATTCGCTGAGTTAACTCCCTTAAAAGAATATATATACATATATATATATATAATAAAAAATAAAAATATTAACCTTACCTTAGTGCTGGATGATGTGAATGTCTAAGATGAAGTGAACTCGGAATCACAAAGTATGCGGTCCGTAGCAGTATAGTTAGTTCAGTGGACGCGGTATCACAAGGTATGTAGTCCGTAGCAGGATGGTTGGTTGGCTGGACGTGAAGATGAGTTGAAGTCTTGAGAAGTAGTGTTTGAAGTAAAATTTCGTCTGAATTTATACTTTATGAACGCGTGGGTCAATTATGCAGGCGTGGGTAACGCAGATGTGGAGGTCGTTGAACTCTACTGCAATCCTTGGTTTAAAAAACAAAAACATAAAGCCTCACTATGAACGCGTGGTCTAATTATGCAGGCGTGTGTCACGCAGATGTGGAGGTCATTGAACTCTCCCTCCGATCCTTGGTTTAAAAACAAAACATACCTCATCACCTGCTTGATACATAAAATCAAAAAAAAATCTAATTTCTTTATATCGCCTGTTTCACGCTTGCGCAGTGAAACGAGTCGTCCCTTTGGACCAAGACGCGGTCGGGTTTTCAAAGCCTATTATCCGCCCCTCAGCTACCCATACAATGGGTATTGTCCTCACAGAATACAATGGGCGGTCGACGCGTGCCGTGTTTCGGTTGTGCGTGGAATTTGTAAACATTACTACATGCTAAATTTATTCAAAATTCTATACGCAGACACCGCGGGTGTAAACACGGGGAAGGGTGGAGCGGTCCATTGTGTACTGCATACCAGGATTGACGTGCGCGTGTTTTAACACTTACGATTGGTCCCGAGTTTAGCGCCGTAATTTTTATCGACTATTCTATAAGCAGACAACGCGGATGTTTATACAAAGGTTATTGACCTCACAAAGTACAAAAGAAGGTGGTCGTGTTCTGCATCACCCGCGATTTCAGGAGGTCGTTGAACTACACTACCATCCGTTCGCGGTTTATTTTGTTTTGGTGGAGCTAGCCTAAAACTTATTCTCCACCCTTTTTCACCGTCACCGGCTCGACAATATATTAACGATCGACTTATATCACGTTTAACACTTGCACTTATTGGGACTACTTATAAACGTTTATTTCGGCGCTTTCAAGATGTCTAGTGAAGATTGGTTACTTGTCGCCCGGAATAGTAATAAAGTGACGGAAATACGAACGACGAATGACAGTGGTTATAAAGTAGCTATCGTTAGTCAATTCATGAACAAAAACACTTTAAATCTTAGAGATCTTATGGATGGTACAGATCTTAAATTTCCTAATAATTCTGGAATAATTCTCTCTCGTGTAGCCTTTGAACGTTTACTCGCCCTGAGATATGATATTTTAAAAGCGTTTGATGACTTGGAGAAAGTTGAAATAAATTCATAAAATATAAGAAGTCTTTTGTTGTGATATAAGTTGTGTGTAAGTTGTGTGTGTGTGTGTGTAAATAAACGCCAGCCATAAACACAACAAACAAGTAGAAACCAGGGTTAGGGGGTAATAACCGCCCCCGGCTGTTGGCACGTGTTGTATCTCTTTATATTAAGACGAGTAGAATTCGACATCCACCAGGCCTATTCAACAAAGATTTTATACGGTCAACATGTTTAAACATGACTTTAAAAAAAAAAAAAAAAAAAAAATCGATAGTAAAGGCGCGTGAGTTGGATTAGACAATGGGGTAGGGCACCTGCCTTTGAGTATGACGCTAGTAGCGGCACACAAAAGGACATGCTCACACAGACGTCAGACAAAGGGAGAATGAGATTGCAACACACAAAGGGAAGGGGTACCACCTGCTACCACCTCCCCCCCACCCGCGTCACCCCCACCCACACCCCCATTGGAGGTGGGGAAATACTATTTTACTATATACTGTTAAAGCCGGACTGTCGTCCAGGTCAATAAAAACAACCAATAACTGGTCAAGTGGTCAACAACCGATAAACTAATCATCTGGTCAACTACTGGTCAGTTGGTCAACTGGTCAACAAATGTATAACACCATTAATAAAACAATAGCTCAAGTGATCAATTTGTCAACAACTGGATAAGAAATGGAAAAACAAGACCCTCCTCCTCCTCCATGATAACCGTTAATAAAACAATGTAAAACAACATCTGACCAACAAGTGGTCAGTTGGTCAACTGGTCAATATATCGATCAATTGATCAAAACAATAACCTCCTCCTCCTCTATGATAATCGTTAATAAGACAATGTAAAACAACATCTGGTCAACAAGTGGTCAAGTGGTCAACATACCGATCAAAACAATAACCTACTAGTCAAAATAATCAACAGTTGTTTAATGAACAATCAACAACGGGCTAAGAAATCAATAGTTGGTCAAAAAACAGGGACACAAATCAACAGGTGGTCGAGAATCAATCAATAACGGGTTAAATAATCAACAGGTGGTCAAGAATCAATCAATAACGGTCAAAATATGCAACAGGTGGGCAAAAATCAATCAATAACGGTCAAAATAATCAATCACTCCTCCTCCTCCGCCTCCTCCTCCTCCTCCTCCTCCCCCTCGCCTCCTCCTCCTCTTTCGGCCCAAAGGGGACCTACTATACTACTCACAACTAGAACAAGTACAAATCTTTTAGACACCCTACAGTTTAGTAACGCTGGGGACTAGCTGATGGCTAATTAATCCCATACAATTTATATTAACCCTTAGCTTAAGATTGGACGCGCTTGACCGATAGTGACCTCTTCCGGTTGTCATCCAAAGGCCTAGAGCTAGAGTTGCTTCCCTGTCGCTATCTCAGACAAAAATGTATAAAAGGGAAGTCATCCAGTGACCAAACACCGCCATCACAACCAGCAAGACTGCTAGACACATCTATTCTACACAGTAGTCAAACCTAAACTTTCGTGAGTAAAGGGTTTAACATATAAAACATTTCAGCATACAAATAATAGACTGTAGCCTAACCAGATGCACATCGCTAATATAATATTTTCAAATTTAAATATCTTTTAACGAATTATTACTTTGTAGAGGTGTTTTAAATCGGTTAAAATTTCGGTATTTGATCTGACATTCATACATTTATTTTCCCGTTCGTGCCCAAGACACATAGTGCAGATGATGTAGAGTTAATCTGTTTCAATTACCTTGGTACAAGAAGTGTGGTCAGCACTATGCCCAGCAGCTGTGGTTTTCCTAAAGTGAGTCAGGTACCCATCAGAATTTGGTGGACTCGGGGAAGTCCTACAGAATCAAACCCGTGGTTCGAACTCGAGATTATCGGGTTAGCACTCGTAAGCACTGCCATTCGACCAGGCCGTCCCGAATAACTGTGACATTAATATTTTTTAAATTCTTTTATTATGTTGGATAAATAATAAGCTGCGCAATGAAATGTATCAATTAAAATTCTAAATGATTACAAATAAAACATAAATGTTGACATGCATGTGAGATAAAATTCTAATTTTTGTGAATATTTTCCAGACCATGAACAAAATCGTATTCGCCGTTCTCGCCCTCGCCGTTCTTGCCATGAACGCCCAAGCCAGCTTCTATGGAGGTCTTGGTGGTCTTGGTGGACTTGGTGGACTTGGATACGGAGGTCTTGGATTCGGTGGACTCGGTGGATTCGGCGGTGGATTCGGTGGTATTGGTGGATTCGGTGGAATCGGCGGTGGATTCGGCGGCATTGGTGGATTCGGCGGTATTGGTGGATTCGGCGGTCTTGGTGGATTCGGCGGTCTCGGTGGATTAGGTGGAATTGGAGGATTCGGTGGAATCGGTGGCGGTCTTGGATTCGGTGGACTTGGTGGAATCGGAATGATCGGTAAGTCTACACAATATGCTTGATTTGTTCTTTATTCATATTTTAATTTGACTTCACAACTAATTGTTTTTTAATTAAATTTAAACGTTATTTGACAGCGAACTGCTAAATTTAAAAAAATAGAAGTTAAATAGTCGTATTCTTGAGCTACTACAATTTAAATAACGTTCTATCACTTTAGAATATTTACTATAAATTTGTTTATTGATTATACGTTTAAAAAAATTCTAATTTGTTTTCTTTAAAGTTGGAAATATGAAAAGCAAGTGATAACATAATTAAATATCAACTACATTCTATTTAAAATAACCCTATTTATAAACGAACATCCTATTTACATATGTATGAATTTATTATTCTCTACAGGTAAAGGACTTTACTACTAAATGTTTTTGTTTTGTTCATGGAGATAATGTACAGTTTATATGATTAAACAACCAGAAACGTTATAATTGTGTTGTACTTCTATTTTTAAATAGATGACTGAAAAGTTGTATTGATGTAATGTCTAAAGGTTATAGTGGAGTAAAAAAGTGAATTGATATTCTTCAGACAAAAGTGTGTAAAACAGTATGTCGCTAAACAAGCACCCAATTAGTCACGTATGTAAAACTTGTCTGTAAAACAGAAGTAAAATCTTCTATCAGTCACATAGCCAGCGGGGAGCTTTACAAAACGATGTAATTCATCTGCAAGATTAGCCGTCGTCCATAACGATGTCACATTTTTAGGGTTAAGGGGGGGGGGGGTGGAGTTTTGTGACGATGTGGGACGAGGGGTCGGGGCTCAGAAAGTTTCACAAGATACTTTTACATTTTAAAAAAATAATTCAAAGACTTACTGTAATAAAAATTAATGTTGAACAAGCTTAGAAAATATTTTAGAAAGAGATCGATGTTTAAAAACAAAATGTAAATCGCGAAATGACAGCCAAGTTCAGCTTCAAATACTAGTTTTTAAAAAGCAAAAATGTCGTCCCACTTTGTGAATCTCTCACGTCCCATATACCCACAACATAACGGTCCAACCACCTTAAAAAAATCTTAGAAACGCCACTGTTGTTTTTTTTTAAGTCGTTGGACGGAATAGACAAATTAATTTGTGTAGTAAACAACGTTTTTCTAGCCTGTTTTACAATATTCCGTATGTTAGTTTTTTTGTTGATTGTGCAACACTTGAAATAACTGTATTATTTTACGGAGAGTCGCATTAAGCGAATATTTTCACGTTGAGATTTGGGAGTCACTAAAAATATTTTTGCCTCTTTATCCGCAATTTTAAAAAAAAAAGCTTATTTTACTTATCTTCTTTTTTGCCGACCAACGTTTTTGGACACACCCATTTTAAGAGACCTATTTTTTTAAACACATTATTTTTTTATCGACCTAGTTTTCTTAATAAACATATTTTAACGATATTTTTTTTAACTGACAATTTTTTTCATTACCATTTTATCCATCTACCTTTTTCTTTACTTTTTTTAACACCAGCATTTTACCACAAACTTTTCCATTAGTATCCAACTACATCTGGTCTTTATATCGAAACTTACCTTTACTCAATTAAGTCTCACTCAAGATTCGAACCCATGCCTGCTAGATGTACACGCTGTGTACTATGGTTGTACTCAAAGTTTTATGTATCTTGAAAACAAATATTAAAAAATACATTTTCTCATTAAAATTAATATTTATTTCTTATAAGAAACAATACAATTTATTTACATATATTTTTTTTAATTTTTGGTTTTGTTTAATATATATTGTCAAGGGAGAACACTTGGTAAAAAAATATCACAAAGACCACCAAGGGTTGTAAACCCTGACTTCTGACTGGACAAGAAAGCAGAAAAAAATGGGTCATTAAATTAATCCATAAACATATCTCACCTAACGTAGGTGGGATTCATATGACTTTTTTTTTCAACACGCTGGCTTGATGAGGAAATTGAGTGGTATTCTCTCCGGCTTGTAGATATAGCCATGTTGCCTGTCTGTAGCCATTACTATCTGTCAGCAGCAATTTAGATATGCCTTAAGCTATTCTCCTCTCTATGTGTCACCTATAGCTTGCTGTAGTTACTCTAATCTGTTTGAAATGAGTCGTTTATATTAACTAGCATAAAATATTAACTCAGCCCTCTCTTGGTGGCCAAATTAGACATTTTTATTTCTTTCTAAGTGGTGAAGCAGCACGCATATAGAGACGCCGTCTGGACATCTTTGGACGGTGTTGATACTGGCAGACATGTTGTTACTGGCAGGGATGTTGTTACTGGCAGGGATGTTGGTACTGGCAGGGATGTTGGTACTGGCAGGGATGTTGTTACTGGCAGACATGTTGGTACTGGCAGGGATGTTGATACTGGCAGGGATGTTGGTACTGGCAAGGATGTTGATACTGGCAGGGATGTTGATACTGGCAGGGATGTTTGTACTGGCAGGGATGTTGGTACTGGCAGGGATGTTGATACTGGCAGACATGTTGGTACTGGCAGGGATGTTGATACTGGCAGGGATGTTTGTACTGGCAGGGATGTTGGTACTGGCAGGGATGTTGATACTGGCAGACATGTTGGTACTGGCAGGGATGTTGATACTGGCAGGGATGTTTGTACTGGCAGGGATGTTGGTACTGGCAAGGATGTTGATACTGGCAGGGATGTTGATACTGGCAGGGATGTTTGTACTGGCAGGGATGTTGATACTGGCAGGGATGTTTGTACTGGCAGGGATGTTGGTACTGGCAAGGATGTTGATACTGGCAGGGATGTTGATACTGGCAGGGATGTTTGTACTGGCAGGGATGTTGGTACTGGCAGGGATGTTGATACTGGCAGACATGTTGATACTGGCAGGGATGTTGATACTGGCAGGGATGTTGATACTGGCAGGGATGTTGATACGGGCAGGGATGTTGATATTGGCAGGGATGTTGTTACTGGCAGGGATGTTGATACTGGCAGGGATGTTGGTACTGGCAGGGATGTTGATACAGATGTTGTTACTGGCAGGGATGTTGATACGGGCAGACATGTTGTTACTGGCAGGGATGTTGATATTGGCAGGGATGTTGGTACTGGCAGACATGTTGGTACTGGCAGGGATGTTGATACTGGCAGGGATGTTGATATTGGCAGGGATGTTGGTACTGGCAGGGATGTTGATACTGGCAGGGATGTTGGTACTGGCAGGGATGTTGATACAGATGTTGTTACTGGCAGGGATGTTGATACGGGCAGACATGTTGTTACTGGCAGGGATGTTGATATTGGCAGGGATGTTGGTACTGGCAGACATGTTGGTACTGGCAGGGATGTTGATACTGGCAGGGATGTTGATATTGGCAGGGATGTTGGTACTGGCAGGGATGTTGATACTGGCAGGGATGTTGTTACTGGCAGACATGTTGGTACTGGCAGACATGTTGGTACTGGCAGACATGTTGGTACTGGCAGACATGTTGGTACTGGCAGACATGTTGGTACTGGCAGACATGTTGGTACTGGCAGACATGTTGGTACTGGCAGGGATGTTGGTACTGGCAGGGATGTTGGTACTGGCAGGGATGTTGGTACTGGCAGGGATGTTGGTACTGGCAGGGATGTTGGTACTGGCAGGGATGTAGATACAGATGTTGATACTGGCAAAGGAGAACACTTGGTAAATAACATCATAATGACCACCAGGAGTTGTAAACCCTGACTGCTGACTAGACATGAAAGCAGAAAAAATGGGTCTTAAATTTTGATACAAGCGTTGATCCTGGCAGAGATGTTGATACAGGTGTTGATACTGGCAGGGATGTTGATACTGGCAAGGATGTTGATACAGGTGTTAATACTGGCAAGGATGTTGATACAAGTACCGCCTTGTATCAAAAGAGAAAAAAAGTAAATGAATGAAAAAACGATTCTACAAGTTTTAAACGTTAGAATTATATTTTAATTTAATATTTTAATTCACCATCATTTAATAGATATAACAAAAAAGCATCAATTTTCCTTCTGTTAGATGTTAGCTTGCATAGGTTTCTTTCAGACATTTATGCTGGGTGGGGGGTGCACTTAAAATTTTAAATACATGTATTATGTATATAAATTATATATTTTCTGTTTAGTCCAGGGGGACTGCCCCTCCCACCCCTCCCCCTAGAAAATACGTTTGAAAGAAACTCTGATAGAATGTAAAGAAAATAAAAGATAACATGAAGGCTGGTACTGGTAGAGATTTGTTATCTAAAAACGTTCTGAAGTTCTCTTGATGCAACTGGGTCGGTCAAGACATCCCAGCGACTTTAGGACGGCAGACACAGTCTATTACGGTTAGAATCACATCATCACTGCCCTTCACACCTGCTGGGGTATGGGACGCCATCCAAGGATCTCCAGAGTCCTCTGTCCTGTGCCATTTTCTCCAATTGAAACCATCTTTGTGGTCTGAGAAAATAATGCCAATGTTTACTTCAAGCCAAATAATTTTGCATTTTCCATCAGTTATAAAATAGACCGATTTAGTCAATCAAACTAAGCCAAATATTGAAGTAAAGTATTTATTTTAATTTACGTATATTACTTTAAAAAAATCTTTTGGTATCATTAATTAGTTTACGATTATAGATAAATAAATATGTGGTACATTAATCGGCAAATCATACAAGTGTCAAAGTTATTCACTCATAATAATAAATGTTGGCATGTTTGTATGGAGCGGGATAGCAAAGACGATTAGATGTTAGCTAGTTCTATTTCATCTGATAGGTGTGGGTTCGAGTCTTAAGTTGGCTCTCAAGGTAGACAATATAGATTAAATCGATCAATTTACAATTATTGAAAAGTTTAAGATAATTGGGTAGGGTAAATTGAGTGGTGTTAATGAAATAGATTGGTAAAATGATGGTCTTTAAAAAGTGGTGTAAGGGCGGTGGTAGTGGTGGTAGTGGTGGTAGTGGTGGTAGTGGTGGTAGTGGTGTAAGGGTGGTAGTAGTGGTGGTAGTGGTGTCAGGGTGGTGGTAGTGGTGTAAGGGTGGTGGTAGTGGTGTAAGGGCGGCGGTAGTGGTGTAAGGGCGGCGGTAGTGGTGGTAGTGGTGTAAGGGCGACGGTAGTGGTGGTAGTGGTGTAAGGGAGGCGGTAGTAGTGGTAGTGGTGTAAGGGAGGCGGTAGTAGTGGTGTAAGGGCGTCGGTAGTAGTGGTGGTAGTGGTGTAAGGGCGTCGGTAGTAGTGGTGGTAGTGGTGTAAGGGCGTCGGTAGTGGTGGTAGTGGTGGTAATGGTGTAAGGGCGTCGGAAGTGGTGGTAGTGGTGGTAGTGGTGTAAGGGCGTCGGTAGTGGTGGTAGTGGTGTAAGGGTGGTGGTAGTGGTAGTGGTGTAAGGGCGTCGGTAGTGGTGGTAGTGGTGTAAGGGCGCGGTAGTGGTGGTAGTGATGTAAGGGCGGTGTAGTAGTGGTGGTAGTGGTGTAAGGGCGTCGGTAGTGGTGGTAGTGGTGTAAGGGCGCGGTAGTGGTGGTAGTGATGTAAGGGCGACGGCGGTAGTGGTGGTAGTGGTGTAAGGGCATCGGTAGTTGTGGTGGTGGTAGTGGTGTAAGGGCGCGGCAGTGGTGGTAGTGATGTAAGGGCGGCGGTAGTGGCGTTAGTGATGTAAGGGCGGCGGCAGTGGCGTTAGTGATGTAAGGGCGGCGGTAGTGGCGGTAGTGGTGTAAGGGCGGCGGTAGTGATGTAAGGGCGGCGGCAGTGGCGTTAGTGATGTAAGGGCGGCGGTAGTGGCGGTAGTGTTGTAAGGGCGGCGGCAGTGTCGTTAGTGATGTAAGGGCGGCGGCAGTGGCGTTAGTGATGTAAGGGCGGCGGCAGTGGCGTTAGTGATGTAAGGGCGGCGGCAGTGGCGTTAGTGATGTAAGGGCGGCGGTAGTGGTGTATCTTTGAGTTTCTAAATTAAATTATTTAACGTTATAATAACGAAATCTCGTGAATTTTAAAAATCTAGTGAAAAATATTTTATACCTAGCCTGTACATGAATCACCTTCGTCTACCGTCTACCTCATTACGTATTACTACAGACAATACAAACATTAAACAGGTTAACAGTTACAAATGCCTATGATTGATTATAGATCACAACCTCACTTGACCCGGTCATATCCATCTTCTAAAAATGTCCCTATTTAAAGACAACTTTTCAATTAGCAGGGATAAAGAACTTTCTGGACTTATAGGCTGGTTTTTTATGAAGCTTTTATTCAATCTAGGTTGGATTATGCTTCTGTAGTGTGGAGCGGCAGCTTTATAACTAAGCAGCGTCCTCTACTATCACTACAAAAAGGGCTATAAAACTGGTTAATGGCTTGTCTAGTAGCCTTGATTCTTTTATTACAACTAATATACTTCCATTAAATAAAAAGATTATATAAAGCAATTTTTTTTATATAAAATATTCCACGAAACAGCCCCCTCTTACTTATCAGACCTATTTTCTTTTAACACAAAATTAAATTTCGTCTTAATTTACCGATCCTATATACAACTTTTCCCCAAGAACATAGCTTCGCCTACTCTGGTTCTAATTTTTGGAACAATCTTCCTAACAAAATAAAACTATCTAGATCTGAAAATATATTCAAATCTAAATTAAAACAACAATTATTTAATGACTTCTCTGACTCATTGAAACATTTCTCATTCATCTATTATAATCTTATATTTATCTCATCTTGTATTATAACCATGTAATATTATTTCTTTATTCCACATTTTTAGTGCTATGTTACTGCTATGTCGTTACTATGCTATTGCTTTTTTAAATGCTGTTATTAAATTGTTGTTTTATTTGTTTATTTTAAAACGGCCAATGTGAAAAAAGGCCTCCGTGCCTACTATTGTTACCGTAATTGAATAAATGAATAAATAAATAATAATTCTATGCATAGCTTTTTTAAAAATTCAAATAGCACTAAAAATAACCCTGGAAAACCCGGAAATGAAAAAAACAAGCTGTCTATTACGTCGGTGCGAACAGTTCAAGTAAAAGCGCAAACAACATGAAAAGCTTTTTTGGTTATCTTCGTGATAGCTGGTAACTACGCTTTTTAAATGTTTGAATTGTATCTTTTCTTTTTTTTTTTACAGAATAGATGTTGATTTTTTCTAAGTCAATTTTGATTCTACAAGAAATATTCTATTGCAATGTTCCGTGAAAATCGATTTCATATTCTCTGTGTGCTGTGGATACCCGATTATTGTTGTGAAATTGACGGGGGAAAAACGTGTTTTCGTCAAGTTCCATCTAGATTCTAAGTCTAGATGTAGATCTAGATTTAAACTATTCCGTGATAAAGTAAGACAGAGTTTGTTATAATTTCAACTTATGCTGGACGGTGAGGGGTAAGTCCATAACTTTCGTATTTCAAATGTTTCTAAATTTTAGTTTCTGCTAGATCTAGATCTAGATATCTAGACGTTGAAGGTAAGTCCATCAATCTAAGTTTTTATTTTTATGTCAATATTATTTCAAATGTACCTAGATCTAGATTTAAATATAGGTCTACATTTCAATTTCTTATGTCAATATTATTTCAAATGTACCTAGATCTAGATCTAAATATAGGTCTACATTTCAATTTCTTATGCCAATATTATTTCAAATGTATCTAGATCTAGAATCTAGATCTAAATATAGGTCTACATTTCAATTTCTTATGCCAATATTATTTCAAATGTACCTAGATCTAGATTTAAATATAAGTCTACATTTCAATTTCTTATGTCAATATTATTTCAAATGTACCTAGATTCTCTAGATCTAGATTTAAATATAGAATCTAGGTCTACATTTCAATTTCTTATGTCAAAATTATTTCAAATGTAAATATATTTAAGTTTACATTTCGATTTTTATATTACTATAATTAAAAATGTATAGACTATAGATCTAGAAACTAAGTCTACAATTCAAACTTTATGTTAATATTATTTCAAATGTATGTAAATCTAAGCGTACATTTAAATTTTTAAGTTAATACTATTTCAAACTTGTGTGCATACGATTTCTGCTAATATTCTTTCAAATGTGTAGAAATCTTAGTCTACATTTCAATTTCTGCTAGACAACGATAGGGTTAGTTAGTCCATCTAAGGTCTTACTAGTCTTTATGTTTTTATTATTTCAAATGTATTTAAATCTATATTTCAATTTCTGCTGGCGGTAAAGGCCATCTAAGTTTATATGTTCATGTAATTTCAAATGCACTGTATTGACACAATTAATCAAAAGACAAAGGTTTAATAGACTTACAAATAATTTAAGTCCGGGTTTTGTGTTAACCTCGGATGTTAGTATCATTGGCTTGGCTACTATTGGTCATATTCAAATATGGTTTTATTGTGTGATTGTTTTTAAAACTATGTGGTATTGGTCAGGTGTGAATAACAGTGTCCAAATTCGCTAGTTAGCTAATGGCATTGTACTTTTATAACTGTTAATTTCGTCTTGTTGGTTGTTGGTCCTTGAGCCTAGATCTAGCTGTAATAGATTTAGCTTTAATCTGGGCTCGGCTACAGTTTGTTACTTAAGTCGTTTGGTTTTCACTTTGTCTGCTGAGAGTGGCTCTAATTTGGTTAGGCTCTTGCATTTGACCCGGGTACTAATGTAGGTAGTTCCAGAGAAAAAAAACACCTTACGCTATAAACTGAATCTTAGATGGTTTCGCTCATGTTGAGTGTTATGAAGTGAAGTCATGAAGGTGTTCTAGATACTGATTCAGCTTTTTATGGCCCCGCGTTTTGTTGGGGTAAATTTATTTCACGCAAAAAGTCCGTCCTTTTCAGGGCGAATGCTGTCTGCTGGGGGTCTTAGTCTTGCTCCTCAACTAGATTTGTCTGTTGATGGTCGCAGTTAGCACTAGAAAAATTTCCCAGATTTGCTACTTCTGGCTCGCTGGCTGAGTGTTGTGTTGTTTTGATTATTCAACTGTTGTTGTTGGCCACGGGTTTATCGAAAGTTAACAAGTCAGTTTAGCACAAATGTTAGCCGGTTGTTACATTAGTCATGCAAGGTTGAAAGTTGTCTTAAGCATGGCTTGACTATAAATGGTCTCATTTGGGCTCGACTATAAATGGTCTCATTTGGGCTCGACTATAAATGGTCTCATTTGGGCTCGACTATAAATGGTCTCATTTGGGCTCGACTATAAATGGTCTCATTTGGAATCGACTATAAATGGTCTCATTTGGGTTCGACTATAAATGGTCTCATTTGGGTTCGACTATAAATGGTCTCATTTGGGATCGACTATAAATGGTCTCATTTGGGTTCGACTATAAATGGTCTCATTTGGGTTCGACTATAAATGGTCTCATTTGGGATCGACTATAAATGGTCTTATTTGGGCTCGACTATAAATGGTCTCATTTGGGCACGACTATAAATGGTCTCATTTGGGCTCGACTATAAATGGTCTCATTTGGGCTCGACTATAAATGGTCTCATTTGGGCTCGACTATAAATGGTCTCATTTGGGCTCGACTATAAATGGTCTCATTTGGGCAAAACTATAAATGGCCTTATTTGGCCTTGACTATAAATGGTCTTATTTGGCCTTGACTATAAATGGTCTTATTTGAGAGAAAACGTTTCGAAATGCACATTACACCTTTCTGCTTTTCACTAATAGGCCTATTGCCTGACGGTGGCTTTTCTCTTTGTCGGCTCAAAGTTGACGTTAGCTTCAATAAGCTGGTGGTGGTCCCGATTTTAATTGCTGGCGATTTAATCAAAGCTTTAAAGCCCAGGATGTTTTTTTTTTCTGGTGGTCAACAAAAATTATGCACACAGATTTCGTTACTCAATGTACTGTAACTTCCATTGTAAGCCCAAATTCTATCAACGCAAAGCCTTAGTCTTATTGTGTAGTTCTAAAGACTAATTCGTGAAAACTCTATGCTTGTTGACTTAGTAATGCTCAGCTGAAATTTGTCTTGAGCAAGACATTGCTGTCGCACTTTCCAGAGAAATACTCTGTTAAGCATACTTTATATACTAAAAACGACTACTTTAAAATGTAAGACAGTTAGTGTTAGCTTTGCTTGGCTGAAAGTGGTCTTAAGCTTGACTAGACTATTCGTCTTTTTTAAAGTTTTTATTCCATGCCTGTTCTAAACGCTGACAAAAGTGTTCCCTTAACGTCGAAAACTTTATGCTTGTTGACTTAGTAATGCTCGGCTGAAAGTGGTCTTGAGCAAGTTCCAGAGTTTTTCTCTGTTGGGATTACTTTATGAACTAAAAACAAGTACTTTAAAATGAAAGACAGTTAGTCTTAGTCTTGCTCGGCTGAAAGTGGTCTTGAGCTTGACTAGACTAGTCGTCGATTCAAAAGTTATTCCCGTGAAGTTACTAAACGCACACAAAAACGTCCTTTTGAGGGCGAAAACTCTATGCTTATTGACTTGGTAATGCTCGGCTGAATGTGGTCTAGAGCATGACTTTGCTGTCGAAGGTTCCAGAGAAATACTCTGTTGGGCATTCTTTATATACTGAAAACGACTACTTTAAAATAAATGACAGTTAGTGTTAGTTTTGCTCGGCTGAAAGTGGTCTTGAGCTTGACTAGACAAATCTTTTTTTTAAAGGTTTATTCCCGTGACTGTTCTAAACGCTGACAAAAGTGTTCTCTTGAGGGCGAAAACTCTATGCTTGTTGACCTAGTAATGCTCGGCTGAAAGTGGTCTTGAGCATTACTTATCTCGCAAGTTCCAGAGTTTTACTCTGTTGGGATTACTTTATGTACTAAAAACAATACTTTTGAATGAAAGACAGTTATGCTTAGTCTTGCTAGGCTGAAAGTGGTCTTGAGCTTGACTAGACTAGTCGTCGATTCAAAAGTTATTCCCGTGAAGGTACTAAACGCACACAAAAAAGTCCTTTTGAGGGCGAAAACTCTATGCTTATTGACTTGGTAATGCTCGGTTGAAAGTGGTCTAGAGCATGACTTTGCTGTCGAACTTTCCAGATTTTTACTTTGTTGGGATTACTTTATGTACTAAAAACAATACTTTTGAATGAAAGACAGTTATGCTTAGTCTTGCTCGGCTGAAAGTGGTCTTGAGCTTGACTAGACTAATTGTCTTATTTTAAAGGTTTATTCCCGTGACTGTTCTAAACGCTGACAAAAGTGTTCTCTTGAGGGCGAAAACTCTATGCTTGTTGACTTAGTAATGCTCGGCTGAAAGTGGTCTTGAGCATTAATTATCTCGCAAGTTCCAGAGTTTTACTCTGTTGGGATTACTTTATGTACTAAAAACAATACTTTTAAATGAAAGACAGTTAGTCTTAGTCTTGCTAGGCTGAAAGTGGTCTTGAGCTTGACTAGACTAGTCGTCGATTCAAAAGTTATTCCCGTGAAGGTACTAAACGCACACAAAAACGTCCTTTTGAGGGCGAAAACTCTATGCTTATTGACTTGGTAATGCTCGGCTGAATGTGGTCTAGAGCATGACTTTGCTGTCGAAGGTTCCAGAGAATACTCTGTTGGGCATTCTTTATATACTGAAAACGACTACTTTAAAATAAATGACAGTTAGTGTTAGTTTTGCTCGGCTGAAAGTGGTCTTAAGCTTGACTAGACTAATCGTTTTTTTAAAGGTTTATTCCCGAGACTGTTCTAAACGCTGACAAAAGTGTTCTCTTGAGGGCGAAAACTCTATGCTTGTTGACCTAGTAATGCTCGGCTGAAAGTGGTCTTAAGCATTACTTATCTCGCAAGTTCCAGAGTTTTACTCTGTTGGGATTACTTTATGTACTAAAAACAATACTTTTGAATGAAAGACAGTTATGCTTAGTCTTGCTCGGCTGAAAGTGGTCTTGAGCTTGACTAGACTAATTGTCTTTTTTTAAAGGTTTATTCCCGTGACTGTTCTAAACGCTGACAAAAGTGTTCTATTGAGGGCGAAAACTCTATGCTTGTTGACCTAGTAATGCTCGGCTGAAAGTGGTCTTGTCTTCCTTTAACCTCGAAAACTCTATGCTTATTGACTTGGTAATGCTCGGCTGAATGTGGTCTAGAGCATGACTTTGCTGTCGAAGGTTCCAGAGAAATACTCTGTTGGGCATTCTTTATATACTGAAAACGACTACTTTAAAATAAATGACAGTTAGTGTTAGTTTTGCTCGGCTGAAAGTGGTCTTGAGCTTGACTAGACTAATCGTTTTTTTTAAAGGTTTATTCCCGAGACTGTTCTAAACGCTGATAAAAGTGTTCTCTTGAGGGCGAAAACTCTATGCTTGTTGACCTAGTAATGCTCGGCTGAAAGTGGTCTTGAGCATTACTTATCTCGCAAGTTCCAGAGTTTTACTCTGTTGGGATTACTTTATGTACTAAAAACAATAC